AGTCAGTATTTTATATCAGAGGTGATATATAAAATATTGACTAGATTTTATATTTGATTAAAACTAGAATTTTTGCAGTAATTGAGAAAAATTCAAAATTAATTTGTTTACAGAAATGTTAATGTTATTTTAATGCTATCTATAATCGTTTCATGGATTACTTTTAAAAGAGTTATTTATAAAAGAGTAAATATGTTTAACTCCAAAAATTCAATATTAATACGTAATTCAGCTTATGAATTATAATTGCTGAATTGCTTATTAATACAGTAGAAATCAGAATGTTGCAAACAATAAGGTTTCTAACTCAGGAACGAATAAAATCACAAATTAAAATTTAATAAAATAAATAATTTTTTTTTGAAATTCTAGTTTCACTAGTAAAGTTTTTACAAAGCGTAGCTCCGCGACAGGACCACTCCTTTTCGCATAAAATGAAATTTCTGGACCATAAATGATTTCAAAATAATCAAACATCCCTGATCGAAATATCCTTTTTTAATTCATTCATTTATTTTTGTTTTTCCTCTTTTATTCGAATTATTATTATTATTTTTATTTTATATCATTTTTATTTATTATGCATTTTGATGGTGTTATTTTTCGGTTTTTTGTTTTATGTTTTATATATGTACATTACATTTTATATATTATTATACATGAACATGTTGCACATATTATAATAATTCATTTCACAGTAAATATTTTTGCCATAATTTGGTACATGCATCTTGCTAAATCATCTCCTGCTGATTTAAAGCAATTCAGATAAAATGCCATCCGTTCATTTTTCACAAATGAAATGCAAAAAAAAAAAAAAGAAAAGAAAAAGACAGAGAGTAACAAAAACAATAACAAAGTACACAAAATTAAATAAAAAAAAATTTCCCAATGGCAATTTTTGACTTTTCCGATGATTATTTTTTTTCTCCTCTCTGTCTCTCTTTCCCTGTTTCTCGCTCTCTCTCTTCCTTTCTCACACTTTTTTTTCGATATTTATGAATATTTTTTATAATATTTTTTTTTTTTAATTCCTTTTGTCGGTGATATTTTGTCAGAGTCATTAAATGGATTTTGAATATTGTTGTTCTTTTTTTATTTATTTATTATTTTACGATTTTTTGAATATTGTGAGAAAGTATGTCGTCGTATAATATGTAATCGCCGTTGTCCTAAACGTCCTCGTCGTCGTCCTCGTTTATTATAGTAATTTTCTTGTCGTTTTTTTTATTCTTACATTCTTTTTTCTTGCTTTTGATTTTACAATACTTTTGTTTTCTTAATTTTGTTTTTCTTTTTGTTGTTTTGCGTTGGTGTTTTGGTGTCGCTTTTCATGAGCGCCATAAAGTTTTTATTTTTTTATTTTTTCTTCTGATATTTATGATATTTGTAATTATGTCTTAAGGTATGGAGATTGGATCTTGTTATAAAATGACCGCCTTGTAATTTTGAATAAAAGCAAATTCAAAAAGTTGAAAAAAACAAAAAAATATTATATTGGAACATAAGGGATAAAGAAAACAGAATTGTAAGAAAATGAAAATATCATAAAAAAAAATAATTGTCAAAAAATTTATGATATAATTCGATGTCAACGAACATTTTTCTTTCTAAAAATTATTTTTTTTCTTTCCTGTTTTTTTTAGGATAACCGCATGTTCAGACTAATATACGATTTATTGACAATGTATAGACAACGAATTAATTTAAAAAAGGAACAAAAATTTTTTTTTTTCCAGAAAAACATCAGTAGAAAAAAAAATTGGCAAATTAAAATAAATTTTTATGATTTATAGAGCAAATTCTTTTAGGAACAGGATTTTTTACAATGCGATACTAAAATAAACTAAAATAAATGAGTTGTATATGCACAAAATATAATATTGAGTCAGAAATAAAAATGACATGCACTATTGAGAAGTATTTGTCTTATGCTCTTTTATAATTTTGATGTTGCCTTCTCTTTTATGTGTTTACACATTCAAAAATTTCTTACTCAAAAATTTTATTCAAATTAGGTGTAAACACTTGCATTCTCGAGAATTTTATAGTATTTAAAATGAACTAAAATCGTTGATAATTAAAAATTTAATTTTAATTAAAAAAATCGACGGTCAAAAAAATTTCACTCTCATACACTCTATTATGAGTAAAATTACGAGTAAAAGAGTCAATGACATTTCGTATACAATGTACACAATATAAATAAAATATGTTTCTAATACCTTTATATTTGTGTATCTTAACAGGTATATGAATAACAGACATTTTCGCACCTTCTGTTTAATTTTGAAAACCGCTATACCATATTACTTGGTTTGAATTTGAATTTAATTCTGTTTTTCATTCTTCTGTTTTTGCTTTCCTTATAGATTCCTCTCCTTCATATTTCATAGTTTATATTATACACTAAAAACTTAAAATAGAAAAAATATAAACAAAATACCAAAACATTAGAAATAAATGAAAAATTCTTATAATTTTCTTTTCTCTATGACTTTATGTGCGTTTGTACTATTCACTCAATTATAATCAAGAATTATGAAAATTTTCATTTACCAGAAGCACATATATAGGAACTGGAGGTAATTCTAAAAATAAATGACCAAATTTTTAAATAATTTTCCAGAATGTGTTTTTTTTTTGTTGTAACGTTTTCTTACAATTTTATTTATCAAAGAATTGTTGAAGTAAAAATACCAAAGTATTGTTAATAATTTTGCTCCACGTTTATGACTTTTATGAGAAAATTCCGCATTATTTGACATTTTAGAATATAAATTCTAAAATGTCAAATAATGCGGAATATTGTAAATTTTTGGATTATTAATGAAAAAATTTTGACATTATGTTAATAAAATCAATATAATTAATACAAATTTTAATATTTTGAAATTTTTATGTGAAAACAATTAAATTCTGGGCTAGAGTTACTGAAACTTTCAAAATATTTAAGCTTTTTAAAAAATAATTCCCCTTTTATAGATTAAAAGATCACACTTAGAAACAAAATAAAATTCCAAAATGCAAAGCACAGCTGATGTTGATTGACAACCAGACAAATAAAATAATTATTTCTTCTTGTTTACCATAGTACTGAGATTCCTAAAGTATGGCATATTATACTTCTTTGGTTAACAATATGCAATGATTTCTGAATTTCCTTTTGCGATGCTGTGTTATTTTTGATCATTATGAATGAGAAAGTTTGTGCGTTTTTTCTATTGGGGGGTACCTTAAAAAAAGCAAACAAATGCATATTTTAAAAGTTTATTTTTTTTTGTGTTTTGTAAACAGAAATATTGTCGCCTATATTAACTATACGGATGAACGGATTGTCGCCATATCGCAATTAAAATTAAATTAAACAAAAACAAAACACAAAATGAAAAATTAGTTAAACATTTTATTTGACATACAATTTTGTTGACATTTTTGTATTTTAATTTTTTGTTTTGTTTTTAGCTATCTCGGAGATCTATTAAAATAACAAATGCATATTATATGTGCTCATAGTGAAAGGAAGGAATTTTAATAGCAAAATGGAAATTCATTGAGCATTAAAAAACTATAAAATGAGAAAATTTCTACAGGGAGATTTTTAGATTTTGTATTTCATAAATGTACAAAAATATAGAATTCTAAATGTGTGGGTTAAAAGTGTTTTATAGAATTCTAAAATATTAATTTAGTGCAAATTGAAGTTAACAAATTTCTCAATTGTATTTCTGTAATGTTACACAGATTTTCTGTAATTCTATATGTCCACAATCAAATCCACACTAAGCTGTCTTAAGAAGTATGTGCTGATTTATTCTAAACACAAACCAATTCATAAAAATGGTTCGTGTCTACATCAAAATCTTTTAAATTTTTTTGCGGTAAATATGATAGTCTCTGACACTGAATACGCTGCATGTGCCTCTTTTCCATAAATAATTTTTAATTACAGTTTTCACCAGTGACCATCTCTTCTCGTGCATGGTAAAATCTAAAACACCCTGTATAATCTTATTTTCATATTACCATATGACATATTCGACATTAAAGAAAAAAGTGTATTATGTCGCATGCCAGATTTGTTTACAACCAAGTAAAAAAAAAATTAATGACAAAATAATGAAAATAATTTTAAATTTAAAATGAAAATGAAAAAAAAATGTGGGGCTGTGTAAACAATATTATTATTTTAAAATGTTTATGACAGCACTTTTGACACGTACAAGCTAAGATTGCATATAATTGTCAAATAGATCATTTTACGCAAATGGAAAAAGAAATAAAGAAGCTACACTATTATAAAAGCACAGAATTTTTATAAATATAAATTTATTTAAATTTTATTTTAGATTTCAAAAATATTAATAAGAATATAAAATACGAATGGAATGACCTTTTTTTTTCAAATCAAAATTATTAATTCGAAATTTATTGTCTTTGATAAAAAAAAAAATTAATTGGTTTCGACTTGTGTCAAGTTTATCTTGCACTTTTCAATCATAGTGTACTTCAGTTTATCAAACTTGAGTTTAAATTTCGCATTCATTCTAAGCGGGAGTTGAGCAAAAAATTTTATATATCAAAAGAATATAGAATCGCTGCGATTTCATTCTACTTCCCATATTATAAAATGTATTAATGCGAGAATTATAAACTAGCCGTTTAAAAATTATTTACGCATGAAGCGGAATAATGCACACAGTGCGAAGTTAAACAGTGTTATTTAAAGAAAGCATACAAGTCAAATAATTTCGCATGTTTATCTAGCAAATAACAAATTAATTCAGATTTCTTTGAGGTATAATCAAATAAATCTTGAGTTAAAATGTTCTCACACATCTAATAAAACATTTGTGTACGCCCATGCACCAAACTACCTAGATATTCATTGATTCATACTTTAGTTTTTATGCTCTGAATAAAATTAAAACATTTGAAAAAAAAAAAATTATTTTGAAAGTTTTTTTTTAATTTTCTTTTATTTTTTTCTTTAATTTCAGGTTAGAAACGTTCCATCTTCATTAACAACACAATTAAATCAACAGCAGTTACAACATCATAATCAACATCATCAAGCACAAAATGTAAAATTACCATTGACTGCACAAAACTTAAATTTAGAATTAAATAATCAAACAACAACTAATTTAGAGCAATTAAGTCCTAGTTTACCATTTCAAAATTTAAGTCCACGTTCACAACGTAGTATCTACACAGATATATCAAGTCCATTTACATCGATTTTAAGTCCACATTCAACACGTTTTACACCAAATCCACACTATATGAGCCCCGATTCACAATATTTAAGTTCCAATTCAATATTGAGTCCATTTTCTCAACATTTAAGTCCACATCCAAATAATTTTACAATACAAACAACAAGTACAAATCCATTGCATATTTATGCAGAATCTCCGCGTAGTACTACAAGCACTTCAACTAATTTAATTGGTAATAATAATAATCAATACCAATTATCACGTAATGAAGATATATTAAATAATTTAAAAAATAATAATAAATCATCGGAACAACCAGCTCCTCTTCCAAATATATTAGCAACTCTCGATGATTTAACAAGTCGACAACAAAATCAAAAAAATTTTATAAATAAAAATGATGATATTATAGGATTAATAGATAGAATCGATAATTACGTAGTTGAATCAAATCCAAATAATGGGGCAGTAGAAATAAATAATTCCAAAGTAGAAGTTATATCACAACAATATATCCCGCCATCACCTATCACACCGATTTCTAATGATCAACATATTAATCAAGAAAATGAAATAAATATATTGAAATCATCTGTAACAACAGCAATTGATCAGCAATTATATGATAAAAACTTAAGTGACATTCCGACATCAAACTCTTTAAATTCTTTAGTTGTAAAAGTTTCAACGCTTCCAAACATCTATAGTGGAAACCAATTAGAGCAACGGCAATTACAAGTAGCTACTCCAGATATTACTACATCACAGAATCTTACAAATCTTTCAAATCCAATAGAAGTTAGCGAACCCCGAAATAATAACGGTCATAATAGTAACCGAAATAAAAATATATCAAAGCTTCCATTTCAACATTCTGGTCCAGATAACAATCGAAAATATTTAAATCTTCCAATTCCTTCTCCAACACCAAGTCTTCCGGAGTTCGATTTTATACGTCGTCAAAATAATAATCAAAATAATAATGACAACAATAATCTTTCAACAGAAGCTTGTTTCAAAGAACCGGGCAGTGTTGCCAGTTATTATTCAGCACCAGCTAATTTAGGTTCAGAAAGAATTTTAGATGATTTTGCATTTCCAAATTTCTTCCGTGATAATGAATTAAATACACCAAATGTTGATGATTTTTATACCCAACAACTTCATAATTTCTTTGAAGGACAAGTAATATCGTTTCAAAATCCAGTTGCAGAACCAAATGCTCAAAATTGTAATAATATTGAACCAACTAGAAATTTAGATTCTCATCTACAAACTTTAAATAATGTTACACATTTAGATAACAATTATTCATCAGATTTCACAAATAACAACAATTCAATGCACCTAACTAATAGCACTATTAAAGATAAATCAATGATAGAAAATTCTAATACAAATATTTGTAATTCTAACACAATTAATAATAACAATAATATTATTAATGATATTAATAATGAAAATCCAAAATTAATTAGCAGTTCTTCTCAAGCAACATCTGCAAATTCACAACCCACAAAATCTAATAATTTTAATGGTAAAAGTCATTTTAAACCTCAAAGTCTATCAGAATCTAATAAAATGCTATTATCACAACACTATATAAATAAAATTATTTTATTCGAATGTAAATTATGTGGCAAATATTATAAAAATGAACGTTCATATAGTAAACATCAGAAAACTCATGCTCAAGATTCCCCAAAATGTGATACATGCGGTAAAACATTTCAATCTACAAAACGTTTTCTCAATCATGATCAAAATTTATGTAAAATTCGACAAGAGAAACGTATTAAAAGTCAAACTTCAGATACTACAACTAGTACTGAAATTAAAAATACTTCAAGTTCAGAAATTACTTCTACAAATTATAATAGTAATAGTGATTTTAATCTGAACACTAGTGATAATGTCAAGAGTATCAATAATAGTAATTTCAATGACAGTAACATTCAAATGAATGACAAATGTGTTAGCGGTAATCAAAATATAGAGCAGATTTGTAATGAAAATAATCAACAACAACAGGAACCACAAGAAAAACAATTATTACAGATAGGAGAACATAACCAACAAAATATTAGAAAAGACTTAAATAAAGTAATATTACCAAAAAAATGTAGATTATGTCCTCGTACATTTATACGTGAAGCACATTTACGTAAACATGAAAAAAATCATGATATTGTCTACAAATGTGAACATTGTCCTAGATCATTTAGATTCAAAAATGCATGCCAAGCACATATGAGAGTGCATACGGGTGAAAAACCATTCAAATGTAACACTTGTCCAGCAGCATTTGCAACAAATTCTAATCTAAAAGCTCATCAACTAATTCATACAGGTATGCAAGTTTTTATTAATATTATGAAACATTTAAATTAAAAACTAAATTTTAATTTTTTTTTTAAATAAACAAAAACACACTATTTACACAAATTTATTATAATTGGTAATTAAAAATGATAGCTTATTAAGTAATTAAAATTAATTAATCATTAATTTTCAATAAAATTTTAAACATAATTAATAGTACATAACAAGTTATTTGTACCTACTTAATTTTTGCACTCAGTTTTAAAAACTAATATTAATGCCGTAATTTATAGAGAAAAATCAACAATTTCAGTTTTAAAAAAACAAGCATGTTAATATAAAATTATTGCTAAATTATTTATTTCGCTAATAATGACAGATCAATTTATGCACGATGCATACTTAAAAACTGTATTTGAACATACAAAGCATAGCCATTACAAAATTTACTAAAATTTTTCAACTCAAAATTTACTCGTTATTAATACGAATATTACATCAGTAACTCAGAGTAATTACACAGTAGCTTAAACACTCACTTTAATTTTGAGCATTTATCATAAATATGTTAACAATGTCAAAAATATTATTGTTCAAAAATTGAGTAGTTTGAGTAATTTATTTTCAAAAAAAAAAAACAAATAAATCTCATTATTTATTTTGACAATAAGATCAAGATATAAATTCAACCCCCTATCGTCAAAGCTCATAACATTGAGATTTGTGAATTAAAAATTATTTAATTAAAACAATTTTTATTAATAATAATTTTTCTTTAATCTAGCAAATATTCTTATTACAACAGTCTATTGTATTCAATTTAGCAACAGTCTTATTCCAATTCAAAAGCTAATCGAATCGGATTTAATCTAATTATTTCAAAAATTTCATTTTAATAAATAAACATTTAATAATTTTAACTTAAAAAGCTATCATTTAATAAAAATTATGAATCCTTCTTATATGTAGAAATTTTATTTTTTTCATATAATTAATAAAATTTTTATAATAATATAGTTTTAATTTATTAATTTATTTAATTTCTTTCTCTTTATTTTTCTATATTTTTTTTTCTTAAATAATTTCAAAAATTTTATTTGAAATAAAAAAATAGAAAAAACAAAATGGTGGATTTTTTTATTATAAAAATTTGGGATTTTTTTTTTTTTAACTTAAACTATTCTACATATTATTTTATATATTATTATTATACATAATATACAAAAAAAAAATATTCTTATAATATTTTGCATGATTTAAATATATATATAGTTTTTCTTTTATCATTTATCATTATGCACAATTAAAATTTAGTACTTATTATAATTTTTAGTAAAATTGCTAATTATATAATAGAGTTAGTAAATTAATCAAATAAATTTCATAATATTATTATATAATTGTTTTTATTTTTTCGATTAAAATTAAAAATTAAAAACATATTAAATAATAAAAATAATTCTAAATGTTTTGAAAATGTTAAAAAAATTAAAAAAAAAAATTGAATGTTCTGATTGAATTGTTCAATGTGTATTTTATATTTATATATTTTTTAAATTTACATAAATACATTTTTAATTTAATCATAATATTATTTATACTTACATACATTGTTTTCTTATAACATTTTTATTATTCTTTGCAATGAATTTAATCAAAATTTCGAATAAAATAAATTTGATTTCCCTCCATAGTTTTGAAACTCTTAAATAAAAATTTATTCGAGCCCATAAGAGCTTATAAGCTCAATTATTAATATTATTTAAGAAATCAAAATTGAAATTAGTATATTTACCAAAATTTCAGTAATTAAGAGATCAAAATTATCAAAGATTAAATTAATTATAAGCACAATTTCAAAAATTGTTTAATAAAATCAAGTACAGATGGAGTGTCATATTATATGTAAGAATAAAAACTCACTCAAAAGTATAAAATGAGTTTAATTTCAAATCTAATTCTTAATTAGCAGACAGAGTAAATTAATACACTACAGAATGCATGCCCTCAAATACCAAAAAAATTTTTAATATTATTTTAAAATAAAAATTACTTTACCTAATTTATTGATAATTTTGAGTGAGAAATGTTTACACTTTTAACAGTAACATTTCTTGCAAAACATTCCTAAATTTATTTCTTTTTATATACGAGTATACCAGTTTTATTAGAACAATTATACATTATCACTTATATTATTGTTGTTAAATTAAAGACATTTTCATTATTTTTTTTTTTATTTCCTTAATATTTTACTATAGCTACTTAAAAGTATCTATAATAAATATTAAACAGAACATAAGCATCTTTAAATTTGACAATAATTTCCATAAACGGTAGGGGGAGGGGGTTTAGACTTCTTTTATATAATGTTTAAAATTTTGCATTTAAAATCATTTTATTACAACAATATCTAAGTTGTTAAGAGGAATTTTAAAATAAAAATTTTGTTTTTGGTTTTTATATAAAACATTTATTTTTATTACCATGTTTTGTTTCTCAAACAATTTAAAATGTATGTACACCATAATATGTTGAATATGTATGTGGTGCATAACTTTTATAAGGTAATTTTCAAAAATAATTATGATTATGTAAAGTAATATAAAAGTAGGTAATTTATAAAAAAAAAGAAAAGAACACATAAAAAACAAATATAATTTGTATATGGAAACAATTGTCTTTATGAGTATAATAATAAATGAAAACCATATTTTGGGAGCAAGAAAACAATTTTTCCATTTTGAGAATTGAAATACATATAAAGCAGGCTACAAAAAAAGCAGAATAAAAACATGAATTTTTTTTTAAATTTAATAAATTTTCCAAATGTTCACATTAAGGTATTCCATTTACAACAATAAAAAAATGGTTGTTAAAGTATTTCACATAAAATTATTAAAGGAAAGTTAAAAAACAAAAATTTACGATAAAATTTTCATGTACGTATCAAATAGAAATGTGGAATCAAGTGAGACAATTTGAGAAATATTAAAAATCATAATAAAAACTTGTTTGTTTAAGACTTTAAAATCAAGATTATAGTATGACACTTTATCTAATATACAACGAAATAATGTTTTACTCATTAATAACTCTAGGAAAGCCAAAGAGTCTGATGTTTGTAAATACGATTTTTATATATTGTTTTGCAAATCATCAACAAATTTTCAAAATAATTCAAGAATGTTATTATTTTATCATTAATATGAATTTATCGTAATGTTTTGTCAAATAACTTGTCAAAACAATAAATGTCAATACGTGAACCAAAATGTAACATAATGTTTGACAAATAATCAAACTTTCAATCACAACTCGTCTAAAAAAATAAACAAAAAAAAAACTTTCGAAATTTTGATTAAATTTTTTACATTATTTCTTATTGCATCATAAATTTTATAATTTTAATTCTATATCAATTAAATTATTATAAATTTTAAAACAAATTAACATGATTTTATATTGAAGAAAAAATTTTGCTTTATTAATTAAATTCTAATATTAATTTAATTAAATTATTAATTTTTTTTATTATTTAATTTTAATATATAAAAATGGCAGCATTTAATAAAATTCATTGAATTTTGCTTTTGCATTTGATTTAAATAAATATTCATTTTATTTTAGTGATAATTTTAATGTAGCAAAATAGAAATAAAAATCTTATTTCTATCTCATCCTGAAGAGATGAGATTTATTTTTTAAAATTTTTTATTTTATTATCTAACAAAATTATGTCAGTGATTTATTAAATGTATAAAAATTATGAATTTAATGCTTAATATTTATGATTTATTATCATTACCTGTGTTTACACGGCGAACTTTGCATCAATGATTGACATATTATGTATACATTGACATATTATATACATTGACATATTGCCGTGTAAATTGCCATATTATTCATATTTCATTAATAATTATTATCATTATTTAAAAAATTCATTAATATTACATGATCTCGTTAGGAAACACAAAAATAAATAATTATAAAAATATTAAAAATTAATTTTTTTTCAAAAATCAATTATTTAAAATGAGATAACATAGTAAATTTAATCTCAGTTATATATAAATGTTTTAGAAATTCATCTCATAAAAATTTGTATAAATTGAGTAAAATCAATAATAATGATATATATATACTCATAATATAACAATTTTATTTAATAATCATGTAATAATTGTTGATAAATTTTAAAATATAACATTGTATAAATTATTGAATATATTTGTATTTTTCAATAAATTACTAATTATTAAAATAATACGTAATATTTCAGTTTTCTATATATAAATGTAGTAGTTGTTTTTCTTAAATTTCTCCTACTCATTTCTCTCACCCTTAATTTTTTTGTTATAACAAAATTATTATACGCTTTCACAAAAATTACTCTATGACATAAGAAAGCGTCAATATATTATGGTGAATTTAGAAAATATAAGGTTGAAAAGGGCCTAAAATTAAATCAAATTCTAAATCTACTTTTGGAAGCTCCACAAATACAAATTAACGTATACTAAAAGAAATTTAGTAAATACCTGGTAAATACCATATACAATCCCACTACTAAAACACTTTAATTTTTATAGTAACTCAAAAAAAAAAAAACTTTCTTAAATTTTGGCAATTTTAAGTGTTGCCTTTATGTAATTGACATTAAATTAATTAATTCAATTTTTTTTTTTCTAAAAAAATTTTTTTAGATATATACGTATTTGATTCTGGAGCCTAATTACACAAAAAAAAGTTTAATATTCTGTTCACCAAACTTAATTTTATAATTTTAATTAAATGTTTTATTTACTAATTCCGTATGCTTATAAACTAGTTTAGTCAATTTACTTTTTACCATATAGAGTATAAATAATTTTTGTAAGAGAACACATTACATAAAAGAGCTGTGACAATTTTAGTTAAAGAATCAACCTAAATAATTGCGTAATGCGTAGAATACGTAAGTACGCATATATGTACTCATAAGGTAACCGCATTGAATGCAACGCGTAGTCTAACATTTAT